TCTGTTTTCTTTTCTGGATAAGGTCGATTTACCATAAGTGAATCCGACACCGTCGAACGGCCCTAATGACAAACGCAAGAAACTATCGAGCTTTTGAATAGTGACTTTGCTACGGAGACTTAATACGTGAATTTATCATCTTAAGATTTGTCTGCTAGGCGAAACAGCAACCTTAATTCTTCTTTCACTGGTAACAGCTTCGAGTGGTAGCTTTTAAGGAATTAACTTTTTTTTTCTTCTCCTTCGCTTCTGAATATTAGATTTTAGAATTTGAGATAAACGATGTCTTTGTTTTGTTTCATTATTGCTATATGTAATTGGCAACAGCATAATATATTTGTTTGCATGAATTAAATTATTTTCAACCAAAAACTGTCTAATTTTCATTTCATAATAATTTTCACATATTTATTTTATTTTTAAAAAAAAATATACAAAAGAAATTTTAAGGTAATTTTTTGTTCGTACTTAAATATATTTTGAATTATTTTTAATCAAAAATTAGTAATTCTAAATTAATAATGGTGGTCCAGTTAAATTAGACTTTTTTTTTGAAATAGTTAATACTCAAGATAATTTTGGGCGAAAGGCTTTGTTATATTATTATAAATGATACCTGGAAACTAACGAGTCTCCTCTGTACGCTTTTTGAATAAAAATGGGGGAATTTCAAGGGGAAATTGAATATTTTCGATGCAAGCAATTGAAGCATATTTTCAGATGTATTTTTTTCACGTTGAACCAAATGAGACCAATCTCGAGACGATCCGACTAACAGTTAAGAAGTTATAAGCGTTTCATGTACAAAAAGTACAAATTTGTATTTATATACCCATCTGATATTGCTACCTAAACAAGTAAGACATTGTTTTTGTGTATTTTTTATGCTGCGTATTTTTTATTGATTAAACTCTACACAAGTTAAAATAAAAGATAGTTTGGAAAAGTTCTTATCTAAAAAAAAAATTAAAACTTTTGACATGTATATATTTACATTGCTATTTAGGAACTATTTGAATATGAAAGATAAATTTTCTGAGGTAATTTTACCCGTTAAATTGAATGAAACCAACATTGAGACGATTAAACAAGTAACTAAAAAGTTATGAGTGTTTTATGTGCAAAGAATACAATTTTGTACAATTGTGTATCTTAAAATGAACAGACAAGTGATACATCGTTTCCTATGTACAATATCTCATATATAATGAACCCGACATTATTTACTTCAGAAAACGACAAAGAATAAAATGGGCAAGTCACGTTATCAAACTGAATGAAGACAAAAAGAGGTTTAAATGCCTGACCAGTTGGCACACGAAAACGAGGCGGGCCGAGTTTGAGATGAATAGATGCTGCCATAGAAAAATACCTTTTTATCTTAAAAACTAGAAAACGGTAGCAGGAAGTATCCTGTAAAAACTATCTGAGAAGGCCTAAGCCCCATACTGGGCTGTCGAGTAATTGAGGATGATGATGAAATCACATACGTTTCTCTCAAAAAAAGGTAGAAACATACAGAGGAGAGTAGAGGAGTTTTCAAGTATCATTTATAATAGCAAAACAAAGCTTTTTGTCCAAAAAAAAATATCCTGAGAATTAATTTTTCTGAGGAGGTCCCTTTTTTTGGAACATAGTTGCAGACCTGGTTCATCTATTCACGGCAACAGTTTTTCCTGCGGGGGATGGTGTTTACCAACAGGATAATGCACCATGTCATAAGCGTCGAGGAACATTCCAGTGACTTTCACGTCATGTCATGGCCCCCAAATTCACCTGACCTTAATCCAATCGAGCATTTGTGGTCTTACTTGCAAAATCANTAAAAAAACGGCTTTTTGTAGCGATTCAGAAAACCGGAAAAATCAGTTATCCGGAATAGCGATGGTCCCGATCGTTCCGGGGATGTACCCCTTCTGTATTTTTTTATTTTGGTGTATATATATATATACACACACAGAGAGAAGAAAATTTGTGAAAAATATTTATTTTACTTTTTTGTAAAAACTCGATATTTAGAAGTGAAGTTATAAAAATTATTAATTTTATTTGCAATTAATTAGCATTTATTTTAAAATAAACAAGCTTATTTTATTAAATTTATTATAAAAACCATCACAAGTAAGCGTTTTGCTTAGAAAAAACAAAATCTCTGCATAGAATTGATTTTATAAATTGTGCTCTTGAAGTTAGGTATTAAATGTTAAGGAATTCTTATTCATCAGGTATTTATTCACATTAATTTATTTACATTACAGTAATTATTAAAATAACTATGCATTAGTCAAAAACTGCATATTTATTTTAGTAATTACTTTATTTTCCTATTAAATTTATAATAACAAGTTACGCTTTATATTAAATAAAAAAGACATAAAACACGCTTTTAAAATTTTTTTATAATCAAGTCATTTTTGATAGTTTCTAAGACCTTTTTTATGGATTTTTTAAGAATATTTTGGTTATGAATAACCTTGCCCTGGCAATTACAAATGCCAGATTTGAATGCGTTTTTGAATACTAACTTTGCTGAAGAGACTTATTGCGCATATGAATTATCTCATGTGTGTGATTGTAAAAACCGAAACCTTAATTCTTCTTAATATCCTTGCTTCACTGGTAACAGTCTCGAGTGGCAACAAAAAGGAATCAGGTTTCTTTCCCCCCTTATCTACCGATTATTAGGTTTTAACAAATGATGTCTTTGCCATGCATCATTAACATTATATATAATTAAAACACAATAAATTTGCACCCTTTATATTTAGTTTTTTTTATATTAAGATTATTAATTTTAATTTAAGGAAAATAATTAAATATTTTATTCATTTTCCTATCCAACAGGAAGCAAGGAAATACAAAGTAATTACACATTAGTTTTCAATTTGTTTGAAATTAATTAGCATTTGTTTCTACATAATTAAGTGAATTTATTTTGTTAAATTTAATGTTAAATAACCATCACAAATAACTATTTTATTGTAAATAAAAAATAACTCCCTACATTTATTCATTTTAAAAGTGTACCTCCATTTTTTTATAAATACAGGATGCTCCATATTTTTGTTTTAATAAAGCTTTTTTTCCACGCTTGAATATAAATCTACCTAAATATGACTAAATTTTTTACTTTGATGGCATTCTTCATTTTAGTTTTGTGTTTATTTAGTTGTTGGTTTCGAAAATGGTCGAAATTTTTATTGACCATATAAAATGGCATGTATCCTCTATGCAATGATAAGCAATTGATTGAAATCTGTACTGTCATCCGGCATAAGACTTCAGTTAAGGTTTTATACACTTTAGTTATTCGTAAAATAGTCCAAATTTTGATTGCTATATAAGTTGTCATTAATCCTGCATGCAGTGCTAAGCAATCTATTGAAATCTCGTAATTAGTATTGTCCTCCAACATAAAGCTTCAGTTGATGTTCCATACACTTTAGTTATTCGGAAAATGATCGAAATTTCGATTGCAAGATTTGTCCTTACCGAAAAGACACAAAGCATTTAAATGTAAAAAGTGGTAAAATATACTAAAATGTTATATTTCAGAAAAGCATAACATAGCTTTTGTAATTCTGTTCTGGTTTGAACAATTTAAATTTGATTTTAAGAATCCTAACACATCTTTAAATAATACTTATTTTATTTAAGCGGGTTTTACAAGTTTTTATAGAAATTTGCAATTTTTTTATGATTGCATAAAAAAAAATTCCGTTACATTTTATTATTAGATTACAAATTTATAAAGGACAACTGAAGAGCAAATATTTAGGTGGAATAAATGTTTTGTTTATCTTAATTAGCAGAATTTATATACTTCGAAATATAATAATAATTGTATACATAAAATTTTAATAATCTCTCTTCTGTTTAATAAGTAGTCTAGTGAATAAAGAATCCTACAATATCACTAGGTCAAATATTAATTTACTTTAAATATCATGATGCTATGTTTATAATAAAAATAACTGTATTGAACCGTTTATCATTTATAAGACCTATTTAATTTCAAACCAAGCAAATATTTGTAGTTTATTGCATTTATCCCAGTCTAAATGGTACAAAGCTGTCTATATATTATCGATTTTTAGTTGGAAATTCTATAAAGGAATAAACAAATCAAAATTGGAATGCTTTGAAAAGAGATTTCGGAGAAACGCAATTACAACTTCTAATTGGAATTGTTAAGTACCAATTTTTAGTTTATTCATAGCAACCGCTATGACTGGAAAATTTACTAAATAGATGAAGTTTAAAAAACAAAGTTCAACTGCTCGTAACTTAATTGCAAGATTTGATTTAAAAAATAATTATCTTTATAGTCCACTAATATATTTGAGGACTCTGTCATCCGACGAAACAACGATTCAATGTCCCTTTTAATAGAAATGTAAATCGTTTTTATTTTTGTTATTAAATACAGAAGGGAACAGTAATTTTTTTATTAAACTCAATGAGGTTTAAGCATAAACGGAACATTTAAAAAACTGTGAAAGTTAAATTTAAAAAACAGTAACCTAAACCGGTTTTAATACCGGAAATGCAATTATTTGGAAATTAATAATTTAAATTTTGTTTTTGTGGGAAATTGTATATTTGAACAATAATTTATTATGCATTGCAAGTATAAAAAAATAATTCGTTAAATTGTCGAATAGTGAAGAAAACTTTATATTTTAATATTTTTTGGAAAAATTTGCAATGGTATCTTTAAAAAAAAGGCTTAGACAGAAATTTTTATCAAATTTATTAAATGGTTATCAATGAGGTTAAAGTATAAGCGGAGCATTCAAAATACTAAAATAACATTAAATTTGAAACACGTGATCTGTTTTGGAAATTGCCAGTTAATTGAATTTTGTTTTTGTTGGTAATTGTAATTATGTGTAAAATCATATCATGCATTAAAAATATAAAAAGTGTGGTCAAGATATATGTAAAATATTGATTATTTCTCAATAGAGAGTAAATAAAAATAAGCACACAAGACACAATTTTACTACTGAATGTGTTTAATATTGCTAAGTGCTACAGGTGACATTAAACTGACCCAGAACGGACATGTATATATATATTTATATATAATATATATATAACAATACATCTGTCGCAGACTTAGCAATGAAAACGGTTTATCCGTCAATCCACAATATTGATTCGCAATATATTTTTTTTTATTTATTTTTATTTTTTTTTCCATTTTCTTAGGTAGGGCTGAGAAAACTTATCACTTGTGCATCTTAGCGGCTTTATATTGATCAGAGTTCTTTGAGTGTTGACCAATGAAGTGGTTGAAACGGACGAGACGGATTTAAAAAAATAATAACCTAAAAAACAATTAAAAACAGAACTGAACCAAAAAAAAGAGTGTTTTTCTTTTGTTTTCGTTCACACAGTTCATACACACATACACACGAGAAAATGTACACGCTCACACATAACCGCCATATTTGGCCAGCTAATACGGTGATAGACAATATTTTATAGTAATATTTTGCTCCCTGCTTCATTTTCATAATCTGAGGCAATGTAGGAAAAAATGGACACACAGTTTATGTATATATAAGGTAATGACTTTAAAGATGTGCTGCTGAAATTTCATGATTTTAAAAGAAAACGATAACATTACATGATATTCTTCGAACATTTTGAGATATTCTTCGAATATAAGCCTGAGCTTAGTTCTCCATAGCACCAATACATAAGGAGAGGCGGTTTCACTTTAATCTATGTAATTGTTTTATCACAGGCTTTAAGAATTTTAAATCAACAGTATACTGCAACTAAAATTCTAGCGATTAATATGAGTACGTTAAAACAAACTCATTCAGTTATCTGAAAGAAATCATATCGAGAATATCCACAACTGTACATTTTTTGCCCGTTTAATTGGCATTAAAAGTTAAATTGATGTATTAAATACTGCAAATTATTACGCCTAAGTGAATTTTGAAACTAAAGTAATTCAAGTTATCTAGTTAGAAGTTGAGATTGACTTATCTGAAGTCAAAACATAAGTGTGGTCAAATTTCATTCCGAAATTCAAAGTGAAGTTTAAGCTATTTGAAACATCGGTAAAACGTTGAAACCGGCAGAAAACGTTGTAAATTTGCAACTGCTTCAATAAGGTGAAAAGTTGAATCGCGTTGTCGTTCAATTTGACATTTTAGTATTTTAAAGCACAAAACGTAGCACATTTGCAGCAATTTTAACAAGGTATCAAATTGAGACAGGTTTTCGTTGAAGCTGAATCATAGTATCGGTACTTAAAAGCATGAGGAGCAAATTTGGTGCAACTTTAATAAGGTATCAAATAGAAACTTGTTTCCGTTCAAGTTGCACCATAGTATCGGTACATTGAAGTATAATTTGGAGCAAATTTTTTGCAACTTTAATAAGGCATCAAACTGAAACATGTTTCTGTTTCAGTTGAACAATAGTATCAGTACCTTGAAGCATAATACGGAGCAAATTAACTGAAACTTTAATAACGGATCAAATTGAAACATGTTTCTGTTCAAGTTGAATCATAGCATCGTATAAACAAGTTCTTAAAGTATAGTAATATGCTTCAAACTTTTCGCCACAAATAAGTTGCAGCAAATTTGAAAGATTTCGTGGTTCAACGTTATAAAAGTAATACTTGTGTAAAATAAAGCTCAATTTTGACTTTATAAAGAGAATATCTTAGTGTTGTGAAAATGAGTGCCAATAATATTAACAAAAGCGGAGTGTATTCTGTGGATGTTCTCGATACGAGTTTAAGTTGGATCATCTGTAACACGACGATCCTAGAACTTTCTCTGACGTTAGTTCTATAGAAGATTCTTTTCCAACCAAAATTACAACAGCACACTTAAAAGGTGAGACATAATATTTTTCATTACATTAGTTACAGAGATAGCTCATAAGATATGACATGTTTCATAAAATTTTATATTGGAATGTACAGCAAATATTCAAAATAAATTTGGGTTTGCAAAATAGTACTCAATTTCGTATTCAGCATTCATTTGTGTTGCTTTGAATGCATATTTTAAGTTCACGCAATAAGGTCATTAACATTTGAAGAAAATACCATTGCAATGTTTGTTTGTTTTTTTAAACTGTAAAACACAGTTATTTTATTCATGATAAAATAAAATCGTAACTTTAGTTTAGGAAAAACAATGTCAGTATTTTTTGTTGGATATTTATCGGTTAATTTTAAGCAATTAAATGTTTAAAATAAATAAAAAATATTTTTTTAAATCTCTTTATTGCCAATAATTAATCATAAAATGTGATTATTAATAAATAAAGCTATATTTTAAATATTAAAGTTCAATTTATTTTTAAAGTAAAAATATATGTAAAATACGATAATATATTTAAAGTAAAAATGTTACAAACATAATAATAATGTCTGTTTTTATTATTTTTACATTTGTAATATTGTTCGTATAAATTATCCACAATACGTTTATAAGTTACAAAACATGAATTTTAATAATTATTTCTATATCTTTAATTAATGACGAACTAAAGTAAACATAATATTTGTTTTATTATGTTTTTTGATACCAAGCATTATAATAGTTTAAAACAGTATAATAGTTTAAAGCAGTTTGAAACACAGTAGTTAAATTTTTTTAAATTTGTCACAACTGATGATATAAATAATCACGAATTTTAGTAAATAATAACTAAGTTATGTTACATTGTTTTTCCTAAAAAGATCTGATACAAAATTAAAATAAATTCAAATCGGAATTAGCAACTAAAATTATTTCAAAACCTTTTTTTCCGTTAAATGATTTAAAGAAAAAAATATAAAAAAGCTTATAGGTGTAATATTTTACATTTTCTATTAAGCATGAATTCAGATGCCTCTGAAATTCTAGATCATACAAATAAACATCTTAAACTACAAATCTCATATACAATTCTATACAGTTTTCAAAAATATAACAGATTTATTTACATTAGTTCAGAAACAGCTCTTAGCATAAGCACTTGAATCTGTACACAATTCCCAATAAAGCCATTTGAATTTTCAAATTAGAATGTAATTGCTTTTTTCTAATTATTATAAAATAAAAATTAGAGAGATCAAACTTTAGAAAATGAAAACTGATCCAGCGCGACTTGTGTAATCTCGAAAAAATAAGCAATATGTTTAGAGACAGTTTTCATTTCAAAATATTTGGCAAAAGGTAACACCAACTATAATAAACAAAAATGTGCGTTCCAAACATAACATTATAAGAAGATTCATTCTAATTTTAATTATAAAACCAATCATCACATTTAACGCACGCCAGGGTCAATAAAAGTTAGGTGAAAATACTGAAGAAGAAATTTTTAAGAAATATGTTACTAAATAAATATTTGCTAATGTAAATTACTTTTAAAACAACATAGCCAAATATTTCATTTATTTTGTGAAACACTATTATTAATTAAAACTATGATTTCAGTAAGATATTTAAAAAATATGTTTTGCGCAAGAGGGTAAAAATAAAATGCGATGATGAATAAAAATAATGTGTAAATAAAACATAAATGAGTATATTTTCATTGAAGATAACTCTTAGATATGTTAAACTAAACTTATAACACAAAGTGCACATTAAATTAACCAATTAACTGTTGAACGATAGCAACTTCAGTAATGAAAGTCGTGTCTAAGCATAGTACAGTAGCTAACCGCTAAAAGAGGAAACCCCTCACAGCGCCACCTGTTGAAAAACTGTAAAGATAGTCAACAACGAATGCTCTAAACACTTCTTTTCACACAATGACGCAGTGAAACAAGCTTACATAACAATAGCTATAAAAAGATACCTTAAATTTCAATGCTAAAAGCTTAAGATGATTTTTAACATCGAAAATAAAGTTTCTTTCGTTATAAGATCGTTTTGTCACTTCACACTGTACGAATTCGAGAACAAAACTTCTTCCATGTATTTATACCTACAAGGAGTCTATTTGCTCTAAATCGATGATACTAAACAACATTCAAATTGTCTTCCTTACCATACGTTATAACAGTTTTTGAAATAGAAACGCAAACTCTACACCAGATGGCGCTGTAGAAAGTTTTATCCTTTATACCATAACCACCTTACTATAACAAAATATCTTTTTTGTAACTATAGCTGCAGCTGTTTAGCAGTTAAGAGGATTAACACTGGGTTTAGTGTGCACCTTGTATACTTGATAATATGAAAACGTTAGAGGAATAAAAATTTAAATTTTATATTTCTTTTTCAAACTAACAACACGCACTCATTTTTTTAAATCATCCAACAGCATTCACTTCAAGACGTTTATCACATTTTTAGTTTCGCTGTACCATTTTCTTATTTAATCCAATAACCTCTTCACGCTAAGAATCCAAGATATATCTTCTAACATCTAAACACTATCATAAAGCTTAACGGGAGAAGATATATGGTGGATATATTGCGTTGTTGAAGTAATTTATAGCTTGCTTCTTTTTTTTTCCCACTGATATCCAATCAATTCTACTAATCATTTCCAGTTGTCATCGAAGAATACAAAAAAAGCCCCCAAATTAGAAGGCACTACCAACGGTAAGCAAAAAATATCCTCTCCCCAGTAATATCAAAAATAAACAAAGGCAAGGAAATTAAGACCACTTGTTAACATCGTTACAAATATCACAAAAAAGACTGTTTTGTGTATATTCGTGATAAATGTGAAAGTAATCAAAATTTGACTGAAAACTTCATGTAACATACTCTAAACATTCAACTCTAAACGTCTCTAATATCTATCTATACATTTATAATTTTTTTTTTTTAAGAATGGCGTTCTTATGCTGAAAGTAATGATTTGAACCCGTTTAAAACGAAATTAAAAGCTCGTTTGGGTTGTTGAACTATTAGTACCTAAACTTTACAAATAAAAGGTATTCGTGTTGTTTTTTTTACACCAATTACATTTATTTTTCAATCTTCAAAATAGTTTTATTTTACATTAGATATGAAGAATTCAAATTCCTGACTCATGAGTAGTTAAATTTAGAAGAGACAGTTTGAAAAATGTTACTGTCGATTAGAAATGATTATGAACTGAATCTTGTTAAATTAATTTACGCATTCGATAGAAGTTTAAAATTATTTTCTTTCCTTGTATATGCTTTGTAGTCTAAAAAATGCAATTAGTCTTTTTGATCATTTGATTAAAAAAAACCAACAAAGTTAAAAATCGAGACGTAAATGAACAGATTTCAGCACAGGGAATGCCTTTTAGTTTTAGGTTAATCGAGTAATATGGTTTTAATGAATAAGAAACTAGTTTAATTAGAGTTGTTAATTTTTTGCGAAAAAATACTTTATTGGGGTTGTCCATTAGCTTCTTATATGTATTTTAAACTTCTAAATGTGTACTATGTTCCTTTGGTTAATCACTGGTACTTCATAATAGCAAAATGCTTTAAATAATAAGTGGACACAAAATGCTAAAGAGTACATAGTTGCAAAAGAAACTCCAAATGGGTTTGTGACACAAGAAGCCTAAAAGACCTCTTTAAAACGTCATTTAACCATCTTCGGAAAGACTAGTGCTGCTATATTTCATAACTAGCCATCCAGGGAATATCCACTAATATCACTGTCCTCAAATGACGCCATTTAGACGTTTGAGATTTATAATAAATATTCCTTGAATGGCTAATGTATATCTTAATATATCTTAACACCCACTTACATTACAAAACCTGTTCAATGTAATTATTTTAATGCCCGCATTTAAACGTTTTTAGCTGTTTTTTAATGCTTCTCTAAACATTCATTTTGTTTTAGAAATCAAATTTTTTTAAATCAAAATTTTTTTTAATGTACTATTACTAAAGCCGTCGATAGATGGCGGTAGCTTACGACATTTTCGAAACAAAATATTGGACATTAATTTACATAGAAATTTGCCGATTGAAAAGGTCATTTGTAATGTAAGTGCATTTTTATCATAATAATATTCTTATAGATACATATTAAACACAGCAACAGCTTATAATGAGTACAATAAACTGAAATAACATATTTTAAAATTGATTTTTTTTTTCTTAACAGAAAATAGATTCATAAAACCAAATATATTTATGACATTAACAACAAAAATCGCTATAAAGGAATCGACTAGTTTATCATATCATCCAAAGGGACAAATACCATTCATACAAGCAGCTCTTTGTTATCTTAATTCATCAGGTACTCATGAAGTTGCTTAGCAAGTAGATTTAATTATTTGATGTATATATTTAATTTACCAGTTTACTTTTTTTTAACTACAAATTGTGTTTAAAATCCTGGATTCATCTTGTAGAATCCGGTGGTCTGTAGTTATTGTGAAGTCATCACCGATTAGCTGACCAACTGCAGAGAGTCAATTGGAAAACAATTAAAGTATAAAAATGTCAGAAGTTCGATTAAGAGTCGGCAGCAGGCCAACTGTTTCAAAAAACACACATACGCGCGCGATACACTTAATACATAAGAGTTGGCTTTGGGTTCTTTTTTTCTTGTTGCTGTTTCGAAGCGGAGTAAAATAGTCCCCTGGTGGGATGACGTCATCGCGGCGGAACGTTACAACGACAAGAGAATCAGAGAAGTACAGTTGAAGAAGGCAGAAAGAGAAGACGGTCAACACATCACCTCACAACAGTCGTACCCTATTGATCTGAAAAGACAAAAAATACTTCTTTTAATGTTTTATTAATGTTAGAATCATATACATGCATTTCCGATTAATAAGTTTCAAAACTTTTTTGTAACATCACCGAAGAAATATCACTAGTAACTATTGTAGTATAGAATGTACAATAGTAACTATTTTACAGAACTGAAGTGAATAGAGAAAAAACATAATTCATGCAAGAACATGCCGTAGGCTAATTGAAAAATATAGCTATAGATACATTGCAAAGAACAGAATTTTACAATTAACCTACGACATACACACATAAAGAGTCGCGATGGCATTGCAGTTAAGATACTGAGTTGTCATTATGAATTTATGTGTCGTACACAAATTGGAAAACTGACTTCATATTGCAGTGAACCATATAGTTGCATTGCAAGCAGACATCGGTGGTTTGAAAAGATTCTGCTTTTCAAGTAACCTATGACATTTATAAAAGAGCCGAAGTGGCATTGTGGTTATGGCACTGACCTGTGATTATAAATGCATATGTCGTAAACAAATAAGAAAATCGGGCTTATTATTGCTGTGAGACTTGTAAGTGCATTGCAAAGAGACGGGTTTTACAATTGATCTACGAAATATACGTACGACACATACATAGGAGATGACACTGTGGTGACACAAGGTCTGCATTGTAACAGTAAAACACAGTATGCATGATAACAGTAAAACAGTAAAATTCCTCACAGTCAGCAGTGAGACGATAAATTTACTATGTATAATTTTGTTAGAATTACAATAAAATAAATTTCAACGTTTAGCTCGTTTTTTAGTTTCAAATAAAAAACACTAAATTTAATAATATCAGAAAAAAAGTAAACTGTATACTGCTGATATTACAAATTGGAAATATGCATCAATCTTTAAGATTAATGCTTCAACTTAATTGATTATACAATGTTTATCTAGTTGGCAAGTCCTCCGGTTTGACGACAAAAGAATTAGACATTTATATAGCAACAAAGTAACGCTTTTAATGCATCCAGCTTAACCGAAAACTCTTAGTCCAATACGAATGGGTTGCAAACTGGAAGATTGAATTAAGAGTTAAAAAAAAAGCAACATGAATCTTCTTTTTAGAGTAAATGGTCCGATAGCTTTCTTTGACAGTTCACGCTCCATTAGATTAGGCACTTTTTCCATTCCCCGAGCCTCTCTTTCCCTTTTTACATGAAGTTATCCTTGGTGACGACGACGTGGAAGAAAGAAAAAAAAGAAAAAGAATAATCCGCAAATATGTTCCACTTTTTGAATAGCCAGTTTGAAAAGTCTTGGAAATTCTGGCAAGACTGAAGTTTGGCGTCGCGTCATTGCAGACGATTCCTAAATAAATGAATGGTTCGAAGCTTTTGTTCACTGTTGAACAGCAAGGCATTTCGAAGAGAGAATCGTTTGGAAACGAAGAAGAGGGCAAATAATAGAGTAGGATGGAATGAAAATGGCTTTAAAGTGATTGGATTTCAAATTTGGTGTAAGAAATTTATTTTTGGAGATTCATCATATAGTATGAAGAATGGGAGGCGGTATTTTATGTCACTTTATTAATAAACCAATTTTATTTGACAAACAAAATTATTGACAGTTATTTTATTGACAATTATTTTTATTGACAATTATTTTTATTGACAGTACAAAATAATAGAAAACATAAAATGTAACTATAACACAGAATATAACAAAATAAATAACTTTAACGTCAATAAATATGAAAAAAGAAGCTGAATGAAAAATTATAATTCTTTCATGATAAAAATATTATTTAGAAAAACCAGAAAAAGTTAAAGGAGCTTGTTAAAAACGACAAACATCTATACTAAATATTTTGTATAGAAAATGTTTAAAATGTTTTTCACAAATTAAGCAAACTTAGAGAAGACTATTATTTGGAAAGGAGATAAAAAACAAAAGAAAATGGGAAAAAGTACAAAAGAAATACGATAAATTTTTATTAAAACAAAAATTAAAAAATTCATTTATAATAAGCTTGAATAAGTAACCAACAGCATAAAATGATACACTGTAAATAATTCTGGATCAAATTACGGTATAAAGTACGGGCACTTTGGACTTCATCCGTAAAGTCCATTTTACTGTAAAAGCCGTTTTTAATATTTTATGTACCGTAATTTTTAAAGTAATATTTTTAGAGTGATTCGATTTTACGATTATTATTACTGTAAAAATTACGTTATACGTGTATGATTTTTGTACCGTAACATGTTCCAGTAAAATGGAATTCAGGGAAAAATGTACCGGCACCCTGAGTACCGGTACTTTTAACCGTAATTACTGACACTGTAGTAATGACATTGATAGAATTTAAAAGAATGGAAAATTTAATACGATATTTAAGAAATATGTCAACAATAACAAAATTATGAGCTTAGGAGCAATTATGGGACATTTTAAAAACTGGATGTGCTAATGGATGAAGTTAGTTCTAATTTTTTAAAACAAATCATCAATGTTCATCAAATACAATAGCATTAAAATGAGAAAATTCGCATTCAATATTATGTATTACATCATGACCCTATATCTCCCTTTAATATTGAACCACAATATTCAAATTGAACTACATATTATATTACCGATACTAGTATACCCCACCAAAGGAAAAACAGATAATAAATAATACCAAAATACTATACACAATAGTTGATGGCTTATCTATTTTTCAGACTGCTAAAATAACTGTAAGTCAGAGAAATACCTCAGATTAATCTTTTTCAGCATCACAAATTTCGGTAAAATCAATATCGAATATTTACATACAAAAGCCGAATAACAAGTGAAGACAAGGCAAAAACACATGTGGGGACAAAAACAGATAAAAATTTGATGAAAATAATCTTTCATGTAGTGACAAGCGCTGCATCAGCGTCTTATCAGTGAGGGAGCGTGAAAAGCGATCACGAGAAGAAAAAAAAAAAGAAAGGAAAAAAAAGTCAGTGATCTTGCAGGCCGGAAGAACACTATTTCATCACAGACAGTTCCGTGAGGCCCAGGCGAGATGAATGGGTCAACTGTAACCGTAAAGAACACGCGATGAAGTTGAATTGCCTTCACCTATCATATTCGATCGGTTGTTAAAAAGCACATATCGATTACTGTCAATTTCCTTTACCTTAGTATCACGATATACAAATGAATAATATATAATTCTGTCATATGGATGCGAATGTATATATTAACTCAATAAAGACGGTGGTAAGTTTCATATAATTTCGTAGAAATAAACAGGTAAAATCATAATACTCTTTTGATTCTTACTAGCAAATAGAGTCCCGATTATTCGAATTATTTGAATTTTCCACTTTAACCGAGTTATCAAATATTTCAAGGAATTTTTTTTTTTTTTTTAGTTTTTTTTTAAAACTACAGCCGGAAAAAAAAATTCTGAATTTTATCCTCCAAACACTCAGGAAAACAAGCTAACGAACAATACGAAATTATCGATAAAATGATCGTTAATATCTTCGATAATGAAAGTGAATCTAGCGAAGATGATAAAAACAGTGACGATGAAAATCAACATATAAAAATTTCCCATACAGATGAACTAAAAGCTATCGAAAGTGCTATTGAATATATAGAACAGCAAAAAGAGGCGACACCAGCCTTCCTGTTATCCCTAAAATCAGGAAATGTTTTTGTCAAAAAACGCAGAAAATTTTGCGAGATTTGAGTATCCATTCTTTACTTGATCATTACTTTTAAAATACCTTATACGTTTTTAAAAAAATACAAGTACATAAAAATATGACAAGTAGTCTTATCTATCTTCAAATCGAACCAGCTAGTTTTTCTTTGACTTCAGTTTTTAAAGAAAATAGTGCTTTACACAAGATTACCGTTATTTACTTTTTTTATCTAAGTAAATTAAAAATGAGCACAGTTGAAATAATCTCAATCGCTTCAATAAGGGTGCATAAAAGTTATACAGTTACTAATACCAGAGCTGGAATCAGTTATTACGTAGTTTACGACGTTACATACGTTAACGACTTTACGTATGAAAGGAAAGACGATCAAACGGTGTTATAAACTAACTCTGACGATAAAAGGAGAGAGCTCCCGTTTTATATTTCGGGATTCACGTTTATTGAAAAAAGGCAAACCCCCTAGGAAATGAGATGCGAATCTTCTATTTCTGATGTTTACTGAGATAATTTCGACGTAAATTTATGAAAAATTATTATTGCATTTATGAGAAATAGGTAAAATATTTATCATTAATTCCCATTTTTATTTTTAACTTCATTTCAATTAAAAATAGAAATTAACACAATTATAAGAGGAATATTCATATCAAAAGCAGATTCTTGAAATTTACTATTAGAGAAGCCTTGACTTTACGTAAAATATAGTATATAAAATTAAAAATAAAAATTTAAGGAGAAAAAGAATTTTAATAGCTAAAAACAATTTTTTAATAGTTTAACTGTTTACCGATTGAAATTTTAACTAAAATAACTGCTACGACTACTAATGATCAAATCCGTATTCTTGTAATTTTGATCCCAATCCAGAAAACAAGGGATCTCCTGGATCAGAACCCCCAGAGGTATTGATTTGTTATGGGAACATGGAGGACTTTGTGACTCGACAGATTTAAAGTGAATCAGTCACCATTTACTACAAGGGGAGTCTTCGGCCTGCGGGGATCGAACCCACGATCTCAATGACATGGTCCCAGTGATCTACCAAACAGGCTATCCCGGCTCAGAATAATATCTTTGTCGAAAATAAATTAATTAATTTCCAAATACAATTTATTTTGTTTTTAGAAAATATGAAAAAAAACATGGAAAAAATCTGCCAATTAGTTATGCAACATAATTTGACCATCTTTTTAATTTGCCAAAGTGATTTTTTTTTAATTATCTGAGCTATGAACGACTTGATTCCGCAACACTACATGTAATAAACACCTTATGTTATTATATATTATATAATATGTTGTGAAAAAAATA